TAAAAAAAGAAGAGTTTTACAACCTTTGGGGGCCAGTGTCTCAGAGCTAAAAAGCAATACTCTGCAAAGCAGACCCACAAGGATCCAGAGACCTCCCTGAGTGTGCTGGGCACCCATGCACCCATGCACCCATGATCTGGGGCTGGCTGAGGCTCAGGGTGGATTGTGGGGTGAAGATCCTATTGTGGGTGCTGTCTCTCCCGCTCTCATTTAAAAAAAAAAAAAAAAAGATGCATGTTTCTTAACAAGGTTGTATAGTGCATACTAATCAGGATCTTGCTTTTTTTTTTCTTTTAAATATCCTGAATATCTTTTTTTTTTTTTTTTTTTTTTTTTTGGAGAGGTTTTTGCTATAGGGCACATGTGCTCACCAGAAAGACAGAGAGAGACAGAAAGACAGAAAGTGAGAAATCATACCCCTCCCCAGGGGGGTTGTTGGCCACGCCGCAATCCTTTCTCCTCTATTCTCTTCTCAGGATCTTGGGCACGCACGCACACGTGCCTGGCATGAATTTAAGCCACTGGGTCCAGCACTCAAACTGTGGTCAGCTACAATGGGAGTCCAACGACATAGCCATTATGCTAACTGCTGGTCCCCAAATATCCTGGATATCTTACCATACACAAACAGATTTCCCCAAACCAAGTCTGAGCATTTTCTTGAACACAGGACCTCATAGGAAAGATGAGACAAGCTGTCAGAGCGTCTCTGGAAAGGGCAGATGGAGCTGATTGCTGGTGTTGGAAAGGGCATGGTCATTCCCTGATCTCAGCCATCCAGTCACCTTTGCTGCTAAAGATGACCCCTGGGGCGACTGGGTCCAGGAGACTAAGCTTGGAACAAAAGGGAGAGGCTGCTTTCCTTGAAAGATAGAACGCTGATGAGAATGAATAATGTACCTCAGACCAACCAATAGGACTGACTAGAATGTGTCAGAGATGAGGGTGTGGCTTCTAAGAGCCAATAGAAAAGCTGTCACCAGAGAAAAGCATTCTCAGTTGCTAGTCCCAGACATCTGCTCTGAAAGACATAAGCAAACGATGATTTTCTGGAATATTTCTAGGAATTTTGAGGAGGTGTCTAGGAGAACTGGCGTACTTTTTTGGAACATAGACAAGAATAAGGGACCCTAGGAAAAAACACGGCTATAAACCTTCCATAACACAGGACTGATGGGGACAGTGTGCTGCCACTTCTGAGCCAGGACAGGACCGACCCTAGATTGAGCCATCAGGCATCTGCAAACTGGTTCATACTTCCCACGGTTCCTCCTCATCCTAGGAATTGTGACCCAGTCCACGGTGGTCTCATACTGAGAACCAGGCTCTGGGAGACACTGAGGACCCCAGGGGTTTTGCAGGCCTCAACCAGGTGGCCTTCAAGGAGGTCTCAGAGGAGCTCAGTGTTTCCAGACCTACCCAGAAACCTGCCCACTCTCATCCAGACCCACGGGAAGCCTGCTCAGACTCTGTTCCACTTCCTCTCGGTATCTCATTGCTCTGGTTGGCCGCTTCCTGCTAATGGCCAGTCAACCCCCAGATGCCTGGTGGGTTTGTCAAGGCATTTTCCCTGATAGGTCGCTGCCCTTATGGGTCCAGTGTGGAGGGGGCCGTAGTGGCTTTATGGACCTGGAGCGAGGAGTGAGAGTAGCCACGGTTAGGGAGACTCAGGGTCTGACCCTGGCTGGCTCTGCTGGGCCTCACGTTATGGAGAATGTGCCCTGGGCTGGGTCATGAGGAGGACACCATAGAACTGGGTGTCCACCGAGCTGCAACAGCATGTAATCCAACTACCACGTTTCCACTGCCCGATGCTGGGCTCAGCACACCGCCAACCCCGCAGAACAACTCTCCAAGCTGAGCATTGTCTCTCTGTCTTCCAAAGGACCGTTGTTTATCTGCTCCAATCACCCAGCAGCCAGACAAAAAGCCAGGATTTGAACCCAGGTTTGTCCAATTCCCAAGCATACGTCCCTTCCAATAAGAAGGTGTTCAGGCCAGCACCAAGGGCCAGAATAGGAGAGGCCTGGGCCAGACAGTGCCAGGGGTGCCACTGTCCTGAGAGCACCTGGGGAGGGAGGGGCGGAGGCCCCAGAATACCCTCCAGGGGCCTGCCCCCATTTCCTCAGAGATAATAGCCCAGATGTCAGTCACTTGGGACAGGTTTGGACTTGCTCATCTCCAAGGCTCGGGGGAGGTGTCGTCTCCTCCAGGAGCCCAGCTCACAGCTCCCTGTGCTGACAGGCGGCTCAGGTCTCCTGAGCCCCTGTTCCCCATCCCAGTGGCTGCAACCTTGGGCCCAGATAACGAGGTACTTAGCAGGAGGCTCGTGGGCAGAGCACATCAGGCTCCTCAGGCTCCAGCACCTGCTCCACCTGCCCTCCCCAGATTCTCCCACGTCTCCAGGCCTCATTCCTCAACTGGAGACCATGGCTTCAGCTGTCAAGTCTCAGATGTTAACACAAATCACTTTTTTAAAAAAAATTGTAAGGTTTTTGCCATAGGGTGCATGCACTTGCTGGAGAGAGAGTCAGTGAGAGGGAAAGAAATCACCCTCCAAAGGAGATGGCCACCCCATCATCCTTTCTTCTTCTTTCTTCTCTTGGGATTTTGGGCACACACACATATGCCCAGCATGATTTTCAAGCTTCCAGTTCTGGGACTCAAACTGCATTCAACCACATGAGAGTCCAGCACCTTAACTACCAAGCCATCTGCTGGCCCCAGCA